AGCATCCCATCTGGTACCCTGAGCACTGCCAGAAGTGATTCCTGAACACAGAGCCATGAGTTACCACTGAGCATCACTGGGTATGGTCACCCCAAAAAAACAAAATCAAAACCAAAAAATTCCACTTTCCATTGGTGTGTGAAATGTACACTGAAATGTTGGGTGTTGAAACATTATATTGGGCATTGAAACCCAATCATGAACAACCTGTATGTCACAGTGATTCAAATAAATAAATAATAAAAATCCCATTTTCTCCACATCCTGCTCTATCCTTGTCATTATTGATTTCTGTAATCATAACCATACTAGGAGACAGCAAGAGTCACTGTGGTTTTGATTAGCATTTCTCTGGTGACTGCTTTTTTTTTTTTTTTGCTTTTTGGGTCACACCCAGCGATGCTCAGGGGTTCCTCCTGGCTCTGCACTCAGGAATTACTCCTGGCGGTACTTGGGGGACCATATGGGATGCTGGGAATCGAACCCAGGTAGGCAAACATGCAAGGCAAACGCCCTACCCATTGTGCTATTGCTCCAGCCCTGGGATGCCATGAGTTTCTGAGGCATCCAGTGACACACCAGTAAAAGAGTGTCTAAGCATAAAACCATCCTTTTGGCATTCTAGCATCGTAATTATAGTATAAGCTTTTTCCACAAAATTTAAATTTAAGAGATCTCTATAGCCGTGCTCATAAGTCCTGAATCTTTGGCAAATATAAATTTAATCACTCTCACTGTAACTATTCAGTCATGCCTACAGGTTGTCGCAAGAATTGTCATGCTCCCAATGTAGCCATGACAAAGGATGAGCAGCAAAATTTCACTCAGCTGAGATTACTGAGGGCCCACAACCAAATGCAAAGTACTATGGGAAGTGCTGAGATGATAATATCATCTTAAAGAGGTTGTAATTTAATAGGAATGAAAAAACAAAAACAGGACCAGAGAGTTAATTCAAAGGGCCAAGCATCTGATCGGTAAGCAGGAGGCCCAGGTATAATTTCCTAGAACCCCAGGGTCCCCTGAGCAGATAAGGGAGTAGCCTTCGAGTACCAGGAGGGGTGATCCCAAAAACCTCCCCAGACAAACCAAACCAACCAGAAATGGATGGATAAATTCACTCTTCCTGCAGGAGTTATATCACCTAAAGTGATCAGTGAGAAGACTGCTCCCAGATTCTGCAGCTCATAAATCCTTTACCTTTATCCTATGATGGAAACTCCAGTCCTGAATCACAGAGAGGACCCTGAGGAAAGGCGCCTGACAAGCATATCCTTGCAGGCACTGTATGCACTGAGTCTCTTTGTTGTTTGAGCCTGGCTGCTCTGGGACCATGATCTCTGGAGCTAACAACCATTCCAGGTGCGCGTAAATATCACAAGGGGATGTGACACCTGGCAAGTGCCCCAACTAAAACGCTTTATGAGTACCACAGTGACCCCCCAATGAGCATTACAACCAAAAACTCCGAGTATGAGCCCCAGCAAGCAAGTATGCAAGCACCACAGCCAAGTGTGAGAGCCCCACAGCCAAGCCACCCAGGTGTATGGCCCTCCTGCTTACTGCAACAGCCAATACAAGCAATAAGGGAAACGAGGGAAAGGTAGGGAGTGAAAAAGAAATTACAGAAATTCTTCTGAAAAGCTATGCTTAAATAGGCTTTTGTTTAGGGGTCACTTAACAGTGTTCAGAGATCACTCCTGGCAGTGGGGACCATCTGAGGAGCTGGGGATTGAGCACAGTTGGCCATGTGCAAGGCACGCATGTTACCCCCTATACTTGCTCTCTAGCTCCATGTGAGTAATTTTTTTAAAAAATTAATTATTTTATTTATTTTTGCTTTTAGGGTCACAACCAGCGATGCTGAGGGGTGACTCCTGGCTCTGCACTCAGAAATTGCTCCTGGCGGTGCTGGGGGACCATATGGGATGGTGGGGATTGAACCCAAGTCATCCGCATGCAAGGCAAATGCCCTACCCACTGCACTATCACTCCTTGGCCCAGTAATAATTTTATTTTAAAAATTATGTAGGAGTCAGAGCGATGTTACAGAGGTTAGGACATCTGCCTCACATATAGCTGACCGGGTTAGATCCCTGGCATCCCATATGGTCCCCTGAGCATCGTTGGGTGTCGCCCAAAACAATAACAAAAAAAGGTATTTAAGGGTTGGCATGCTAAAGTCCTGTATAATGTGAAAGTCTTGCTGTAAAGAATACCCTTCCGGGCTGGAGCAATAGCACAGCGGGTAGGGTTGCCTTGCATGTGGCTGACCCGGGTTTGATTCCCAGCATCCCATATGGTTCCCCGAGCACCGCCAGGAGTGATTCCTAAGTGCAGAGCCAGGAATAACCCCTGTGCATCGCCGGGTGTGACCCAAGGAAAAAAAAAAAGAGAGAATACCCTTCCTCACATGAATCTATATCTGCTCAGAACATACCTGATGGTCGCTTCATCTGTATTCTTTGATCATCACATAGTTTTCTGTGAGTCTCCTTTTAAACGTGCAGCTTTCAAATTATATCGATACCAGATTCTTTTTTTTAAGTCCAAATAAAACTCTCAGAGAGCCCGGCAAGCTACCGAGAGTATTCAATATGCCAGACACAGTAACAACAAAGTCTCCAATGGAGACGTTACTGGGCCCGCTCGAGCAAATCGATGATCAACGGGAGGGCCTTTACTAAATAAAACTGAATTTAAGTATATATTCTAGTTTCTTATGAGATAACATTTGAAAATACCTTGTCTGCTCAATCTATGTTTCTCTATTCTTCTCCCTTCTCACATCTGGTGGGCAAGAAACACCTTGTTGCTTTAGGTCAAATCAATGTTTATTTGATACATTAGTACTCAGACTAGTAAGAGAAGGCGAGGAACAGTCTGGCTGAGTTTTGTAGTTAAGACAATACCAGATTCTGGCTGAAATTATTTCAATGCTCAGTCAAAAGGCTGCCATAATTTCAGTGGTTTTCCAGTCACAGTCAATAAGAAGGAAACCCGCCACCCCACCCCACTATTCACTTATCTTTAGAAATAAGTCTTCATGAAGGAAGCAGTTAGGAAACTACTTCAACAGCTTAAAAAGAACACACACATAGGGGGTATGGTGCCGCCAGCTGGTCAATCTGTACCTGTGAGGCAAGTGCATCAGCAACCTGATGGCGCCTTCAGACTTCCAGATACCCCAAAATTGCTGCTGTGCCTTTGGCCAGATCCCAAAAACTTGGGGCAAAGTTTACCAAGAAAGCAAATGGCCAAAACTTAGGTATGTGGGAGAAACACCTACAAACCACCTCCGGCTCAGCTATATAATTGGAAGCATGGCCTCTCTGGTTTCTGATTGAACTGCTTAACGGCCATGATCCCAGAGACTCAGAAACGAATCTCGGAACCCAGAGGCTTTTGGCAGAAATGCATCATGTTCCTGCAGTAGGTTACTGGCGCTGGGCCACTCCAGGTGGGAATAGGTTTTGTGCCTTGGCCTGTTCCCCCTGGCGGCTCGGTGATCGCCATCCTCCAGAGACCACTGGAGTCAGGTTTGGGCCTGCAGTGACGAGACACATGGGGCCTCATAGGATGGGGGTGGAACCGACCCTTTCCTCCCCATCCCAACGAGACCCTGAGTTGCCGCCTACAAACGGCCTCTCTGGCTCCTGATCAAGCTGATTAACGGCCATGATCCCAGAGACTCAGAAACAAATCTCAAAACCCAGCGGCTTTTGGCAGAAATGCATCTGGACTGCATACAAGGTGGCCGTTGCCTCAGAGCTTATCGGAAAGCCAGGTATGAGCCGGCAATGAAGGGGCAACTGCAGTCTCATGGGAAGGGGGATGGTACCGGCTCGTCCTTCACACCCTACCGAGGTTACAAGTTGCCCCCACCATGAGTGGCTCTCCGGCACAGTCATGGCTCCAGAAGCAAAAGGACTTAATCCAGAGCCCAACAGCTTGCAGCAGAAAAGTGAATGGACCATGCATTAAACTACCGTGCCATGCCTCCCCGGGAGGGAAAGGGTGTTGCTCCCTTCCGCCATCCCCCCACCCCCTGCCAGCAAGGTGGCCACCGCCTCAGAGCTTATAGGAAAGCCAGGTATGAGCCAGTGATGACAGGGTAACTGCAGTCTCATGGGAAGGGGGGCGGTACCAGCTTGTCCTTCACACCCTACCAAGGTCACGAGGTTGCCCCCCACGAGTGGCACTCCAGCACAGCCATAATACCAGACGCAGAGAAACCAATCTCATAACTATCTGGCTCTCTGCAGAAATCCAAAATCATTATATGATTCTCATAACCAGCTATAGAAAACAAAGTATTTCACAATGCCTTATCAGCAATTCTAATTGTTGGGGGGGAAGTTTTAAACAATAATGGTGCCTCTTTTGTCAAAATTATGAATGTAATCAATGTAGAGAAGAGTTAAGTAGAAATCACCTGCCTCACAGGCATTGGGAGAGGTGGGAGGGGGGATATATTGGGGTTCTTGGTGGTGAAAAATGAGTACTGGTGAAGGGAAAGATGTTTGATCATTGTATGACCGATTCTTAAACTTGAAAGCTTTGTAACTTTTCCCACAGTGATTCAATAAATAAATAAAAGAAAAAAAAAGAACACACACATAGGCTAGAGAGAGAGAATACAGCAGTGGGGGCACTTGCCTTGCACACAACCAGTTGGATTCCTGGTACCACATCTCGTCCCCCAAGCCTGCCAGAGTCAGCCCTGAGCACCACCTGGTGTGGCCCCAAAACAAAACAAACCCCTCAAAACCCCTCACATATACCGAGTACTGTTGAAACTACTTCTTCCATCTAGAAGCTGCAAAATCATAAAGTTGTGAAAAGTTTTTGCCTGATTCAATCACATCAGCTATTAAAAGCAATTAGATATGACATCTGTATAATCGAATGCTATTGTAGGCACCTAAGATGATAGAATTTACTTTTCCATTCTTTAGTAGATTTAGAATAGGGTAGTTGTTTTTGGTCTTCAGTCTTACCTTGTGGCGACAAGAGGGTAGCTATGACACGGCGATGCCCAGGCATCCCTGCTCCACGGCATACAGTCATAAAGCAGCAAGTCCTTCTCAGTCACAGCCATGAGGACTGGTCTCCACTGCTGTCTTCCACCATCTAATTTTGCCTGTTACAATGGTGAAATCCAGAAAGCAGAACTAACTAAAAAGTTAAGGAAATTTTAAAAGTTCCTAACTTTAACTGACTGGGTCCATATTTTGTTTCCCTGATCCTACAGGACTCCTGATAAGGAAATAGCCCATTAAATTCCTTCCCACTGGCAGGACTTCTTCAATGGGAGGTGTAGGGTGGATTGTGCAGTTTAAAAAAGCTCTCTCTGAGTTACAGACATCATTTAGTGACACTTCAAGTTTTTCCCTGTTCCATGAAAATTCAATTTTACTAATTCTAATTAAATATATCGTTATCTGTTTGGAAAAAATAATAATATCTCCTGGAGTCAATAAGGCACTTGCCTTGCATATAGCTGATTCCTGGTTTAATCGCTGGTATCAAAAATAGTCCCACCAAGAATGAATCCTGAGCAAAGAGTAACCCTGAGCACAGCCACGCGTGGGCCAAAAACCAAACCAAACCAAACCAAATAGCCTCATTATGTTTTTGGTAGGAGTAGCATATTCTAAGTACAGCAGGAAGGGCACTTGCCTTTCATGTGGCCAACTAACAGCCCATTTGGTCTCCAGCGCCCCACCAAGAGTGAATCCAGAGCAGAGTTAAGAGTTACCACCAGGTGTAGCACAAAAATAAAACAGAAAAGAAACAGAATTCTAACAAGTTGTACAATCTATTTTGGGGAGAAAGTAGCCCAGGTTTTTGGGCCACACCCAACGATGCTCATGGGCTATCCCTGGCTCTGTCCTCAAACGCGACCCCCAGGGGCTGGAGTGATAGCACAGCAGGTAGGGCGTTTGTCTTGAACGCGGCCAACCCAGGTTCAATTCCCAGCATGCCATGTGGTCCCAAACACCGCCAGGAGTGATTCCTGAACGCAGAGCCAAGAGTAATCCATGTGCCTCAGCAGGTGTGACCCCCCAAAAAAGAGAAAAAAAAACATGACCCCCAGTGCTGCCTGATGGACCCTATGTGGTGCCAGGGATTGAACTGCGGTTGGTGGCACAAAAACTTATTGCCTTACAATCTCTCTAGCCCCAGTGTATAATAGCCAAACATAGTGTTTTTTCAAATCAAGATCTATAGTTGGGCTAAAGAGCCCAGTACAACGGGGTGAAGAACTTGTACAGCAGGGTAAGGTACTTGCCTGACATGCAGCCAACCCAGGCTCGAGACCTAGCACACAGAAATCAAATCTGGGTCTCGTGCATGGTGCTCAGGAGTAAGCCCTGAGCACCACCGGGTGTGGTCTGAAAACAAAATCAAAAGGCTAACAAAAGACTTGGAGTGAAGAAATATATTTCAGGGCCACAGAGAGAGCTCGTGGAGTGCATGCTTTGCATGCAGGAGGCCCAGATTTGATCTCCAGCATTACACCATCTCCTGAGCACTGCCAAGGGCATCTCCCAAGCACTACACTGGGAATAGTACTTAAGACCCACTGTATATGGTCCTCAAATAAAAAAAACAAGAAATAAAGGGAAGCAGCTTAGCAGCAGATCATTTGCTTTGCACGTGTGAGGCTCCGGATTACAACACTCGTACTGAAAAAAAGAAAAGCCACTAAATACAAAAAACATTTCACAGTGCAACTCAAAAAGCACACATAAATAAAATCTCCTAAATTAAATGTTCAAATATAGGGGATATATATGTATATATACACTCATGTAAATATATATATATCCCCTATATTTGTCTGTATACACACATACACACATATACTCATGCAATGTTCTCTGACAATTTCTATTCCACATTCAAAACGCTAAGCATGACTTAACTCTGCTGACAAAACCTATTATTGGAAAGTTCCCCCATCATATTTTATGAAGTTTTTATTTACATTTAAAATGTAAGGTTGTATTTGCTTGCACAATGTTCAGCTATCTCTTTGATGATTTAAAATGTAGAAAAACAACCACTATTTATTCATATTGTCCAGTCTCCAGGGTTAAGATCTAAAAGATTATATTTAAGAAAAATGCTCGTTATCAAAACTTTTGCCCTTATTCAATTAAACCTGAGATTGTTAATAATAGTATTTCGATATGGAAAGTAATGTAAAATGTATTTCCCAAAGGATTAAAATTACTTTTGTTTTGGGGAGTCACAGCTGGCTGTGCTCAGGATTTACTCCTGGCTCTGGGTTCAGGGCTCTCTCCTGGCAGTGGTGCTAGGGATGAACTGGGTCACTCACAGATAAGACAAGCACCACACCTTACCCCCTGGACTATCTCTCCAGTTCCGATGATGTTCTGATTGGAAAAAAAAAGAATTTTTCCTTTCAGGGAATGGAGAGATATTACAGACGGTAGAACCCTTGCATTGCACATAGTAGACCCAGGCTCAATTCACAGCATCACAAATGGTCCCTGGAGGGCCCATCAGGAGTGATGCCTGAGTGCAGATAGGAACAAGCCCTGAGCACTACAGCATGTAGCCCCAAAAGAAAACAAGAATATTCCTTCCAAGGATGTAGCTCAGTGGCAGAGCACTTGCCTTATATATGTGAGGCCACAGGTTTCAACTCCAGCACCACCCATACACACATACACAATTTCCTTAAATTATAGGAGATTTTGAAGCCTTGTTCAGATTTTGTGAATTTGAAAAATCTAACTTAAATATGCTCCTCCCAAAACCAAAATTTTGGACTATAAAGAAATATTGCTAATGTCAATAAAAACAATATATAATTTGGAGAGAGGTTTTTTTTTTTTTTGCTTTTTGGGTCACACCTGGTGATGCATAGGGATTATTCCTGGCTCTGCACTCAGGAGTTACCCCTGGCAGTGCTCAGGGGACCATATGGGATGCTGGGAATTGAACCTGGGTCGGCCACGTGCAAGGCAAACGCCCTACCCACTGTGCTATCTCTCCAGCCCTAGGGAGAGTTTTTTAAAATTAAGATTTTTTAATTAAAATTGTTTTGAGTGCCATCTCTAAGCAAAACTTGCACCCAGCGGTGCTGCAGAGCACTGGGGCCACACCTGGAATCAAGGAGGGTGGGGCATAGAGCAGGGGTCCAACCCAGGGTTTCACACACAGCTGGCATGTGTTCTACTATGGGAGTCACATCTCCAGACTCCTTACTAAGATTTTTTTAAAGAGTGTTCATTATACTTTAGCTCTTTCAAATCCTTAGCTTTTGGACATTATCTTTCCCCTTTTCTACTTATGACTGAGAAAACTGAAACCTCAATTTAAGTCACTCTGCCTGTTTGCTTTAGTTGCTTTATAAGGATACTGCTTTATAAGGATACTGCTATACTATAAGGATACTGCTCGCTGTCACTGCAGTCAAACGCTGCCTGCTATATATAGTACGTGTTTTCAGTTATGGTATTAGTACAAGCAGCCTTGTACTAAGATTCCACTACTGGGATCATGGCCAGAGGAAGAAAGAGGATACTGTTAGGATTTTCGTCAGCTTGCGTTTCAACACCCACCCATAGATATACCTAGTAAAACAACAGTCTTTTCCAAATTTTATTTTTTAATACAGTTGGATGGTATTAAGATGGGAATAAAAAGATTTATTCATTCCCTGTGTCTCTTAATCCTATAAATCTTTTTTGATAGATAATATACTTTTGCTTTTTATTTGCTTTTTTTTTTTTTTTTTTTTTTTGCTTTTTGGGTCACACCCGGCAATGCACAGGGGTTACTCCTGGCTCTGCGCTCAGGAATTACCCTGGCGGTGCTCAGGGGACCATATGGGATGCTGGGAATTGAACCCAGGTTGGCCACTTGCAAAGCAAATGCCCTACTGTGCTATTGCTCCAGCCCCTACTTTTGCTTTTTATTATTACAGTAGAAAGCAGAAAAAAAGTAGAGCAATTTTACTAACCCTGGCTTATATGTTCCTAATTTGAGTGTTTAAACACTTGGGCAACTGTCAGGGACAAAGAAAACACTATGGAAACAAAATCTTCTGTGGCTGTCTTGGTTTTTCTCAGTACTTAAATACTTCAGTTTTGAACCAAAGTTGTAGCTCAGCGGTAGAGTACCTCTTCTTGATATGTAATATACTGGGCTTCACTCCTGCCACCAAAACAGAAACAAAAACCAACCAAAAAAAAAAAAACACAAAAGTGATTTTGTACAAAATAGACTAAGCCAAGAATGCTACTCAAATGTAGAGCACATGCCTTGAATGCACTAGACCCTGGCTTTGACCTTGACAATATACGGCCTCTCCTATCCCAGCCCAGCACCTCCAGGCACAGCCTCCACACAACTTACAAACACATGTACCCTCCATTTGGTAGCTTAAAGAAAATTCCCTTTAAGACTATAACTGGGAAGACTGAGAGATAGATACAGTAAGGCAGAGACCCCTTGCACATGGCTGACCCGGGTTCTATTCCTAGGACCCAAAATGGTCCCCTAGGCCTCCCCAAGAATTGATCCCTGAGCGCAGAGCCAGGAGTAAGCCCTGAGCACACGAGCTATGGGTTTCTCCCACACCAAAAAAAAAGAAAGAAAAGAAAAAAAAAAGACTATCACTTGAGGAAATACAGACTATGGAGAAATAATTCAATGGACTGAGTACATGCTTTGCATGTGTGAGGCCCAGGTTTGATCTCCAAGACTTCATGATCCCCCAAGCATCTCTGGGAGAAAGTCCTGAACACAGAATCAGGAGCTCCAACAGATGTAGCCCTTTGCAAAAACAAAATGAAAAACACTGGGACTGAGTAAGTCACCTGCATTATACATGGCTGACCCAGGCTGGATCCATGGCACCCTCTTGGCTCCCACCAGAAATGACTCTTGAACACAGAGTCAGTAGTAGCCCCTGAGCATCAATGGGGAGACCCAAAATCAAACACAGGGCTGGAGTAATAGTACAGTAGGTAAGACATTTGCCTTGCATGCAGCCAACCCAGGTTCTATCCCAGCATCCCATATAATCCCTCAAGCAGGTGTAATTCCTCAGTATAGAGCCAGGAGTAATCCCTGAGCATCTCCAGGTATGGCATCCCCACC